AAAATCCTTAAATGAATTAAAGATTTAATTAAAATTCATTCTAGGGTTAGAGTTTTTTATAAAACGTGTTAAAGATTTTTTTTGTGTTTAGACCAAAAAAAATCTTTTTATGCATAATTTAGGTGTCTAAATAAAAAATAATAAAGCAACAAAAATTGAAATGTTTTTAAAAGGAACTCATTTTCAAATTTTATTAAAAATAACTAATTTTATACACACCGGTTGCAGGTTCATGAAAAGTTTCTATAATAGTTTCAACAAGATTGATTCTTCCAAGGTCAATGAGTAAACTCAAAAAGTCATCTAAATCAACTCCATCAAACCCATTTAATTCTAAGATTCTAATCAATTCTGAGGATGATGATACATTATTTAGAAGAGCCTCACTAACCTCATCTATAAACAAATAGTTTGATTCATCTATGTTTAAACTTTCTGAAATCTCTAAGGTTTTGCAACTTTCATTTTGCTTCATTTTAAAAACCAACTACTTGCTGCAATTAAAAAAAATATTTATTTTTAAAAAACAAATATATATATATATATATATATATATATATATATATATATATATATATATATATATATATATATATATATATTGCTCTTTTCTTTATACCGGGAAATTCCATCAAAAATTCCCGGAAAAATATTTTAAAAACTATTTAATTTAACATGGTTTTTTTGCGTTGCCATAACAACTTCTATTGCAACAACTTTTATAATATACTTTTATATATGCATAAGCACTAATCTTCATATAAAAATTCTCGAAAACTTTTATTTTTTCATAAGAAAAACATACTAAAAAAACAAGTTATCAAGTAATTGTATTTTCCATTTTTCAAAACAATTCTTGAAATGCTCTCAATTAGCCTTGATTATGACTAAGATTTGCAGAGTTAAACAATGAACTTATATGAATTAAAAGAAATTCAAATTTTGTCTAGAGAAGTAATGGTTTGTAAATAATGTTAATACCAAAATACAAGCAATCCAACGATGGACTCAAGTTTTGTAGATATAAACTTTAATTCTACAAAGTGGTGCATATGTAAATGTAAATATGAAGATAAATGTTGACTTAATTATTTTTGATAAAATGAGTGTTTCTGCTATGAAAATAAAAAATGTTTTCTCATCAAAACCGAAACTATCCACTAACTTAAATACAGGATTATGTTTCTATATTCTCACATTGATATATAAGTTATATATTAATGTTATATAATATAACATATAATGTTTTCTCATCAAAACCGAAACTATAAACTAACTTAGATTCAGGATTATATTTTTATATTCTCAGATTAATATATATTATAAAATGTTTCTCATTTATCAATTGTCATTTAAACAATGCATTGCTTGCTGTAGTGCCGTAAAATGTAAACAGCAACTGTTTATACATTGGGTCTTATTAATTAAATTGTTTTAATATTCTTTGTTTTATGTACAAAAGTCAAACTCCTTTCTAGTTTCTTTTCATAACTTTAAAAGATAGAAAATAAATACAGTTTAAGAAATTATAATTAACTTAAGAATCATTTTCTAAAAACTAATTTTGGCTTTAAGCCTTCGTTTAAAATAAAATGGTTTCAAACATTTTGATTAGTCTTTACTTCTCAATTCTTAAAGAAATCATTTTCTCACCTTATGACATATTTTTAAATTTTTATACGTTAAATAATTTGCTGCACTATTTTATGTATTTTTTAACCATTAAAATCATTTAAAACAGCCTAGGCGTATTGGTTAGAGTTTTGGCTCAGAATCTTAGACCATTAAAAAAGATAAACGCTGCTAATTCTTTGATACTACAATTTTTTGTTAATACAAAAATTAAATCGTTGACCCGAAAAATTTTGCGGATGCGACGTCACTATGTGACAAAAAACGTAAAAATTTGTAGTTAAGAAACGTGAGGTGTAATTGAGAACATGATAGTTGTAATATAGAAAGGTTTATAATATAGATACTCAAAACAAAGCTCTTTTTATTTTCAATTTTGTACCTTTAATTTACATTATAATACAAGGCTGGTTGCCTTGCCGGCCAAACGAGTTGCTTATCAATAAGTAATATGTAATCAATAAAATAAAAAAGTCATTAAAAAGATTTTGGTAATAGGCAGTTTTTGGAAAAATCCCATCGAATGTCGAATTGAAACTGTCATTTTCATTATGTTCAATAAATAAGACAAACAGTTTATATCTAAAAGAGAGATTTAAATTTAAACAATGTCATTAAAAATTACCGCAATATTCAGTTAAATACAAACTTCCATATTTTTGTTATTATTCACCTTTTTAAGATGTTTTTCTTTTTTTTTTAGTTATTAAGGTGCACCTAGAAGTCCTTACGGTCTTAACACAGAGCACTGTGGAAGACCATTTAACAAGGAAATTCATACCTGCTTCCTTACAAATGCCGCTTTTTGGGATAGAACCAACGTCGAACCAGGGACCTCTGAGTTCTGAGCAAGAACTGTAACCACTGCACCACGGCTGCTAATTGATAAACTGAACGGCTGCTAATTAAGAACTTGAAAGCTGTAATTGTATTATGATCATTTTTGATGGTTTTCATTAAACAATAATATAACTAACAATAAAATAAAAAGTCATAAAAAAGTCACTAGCGGTTTTGGCGGCAACTGGAAAAATCCTATCTGGTATCAGTTAGTACTTTGTTTTTTTATTTTGGTTGTAAAAAATTCAATTGAGAATTAGGATGAATAATCAATAAAATACAAATAATTTATTTAAAAAAATATATAAATATTTAAGTTGAATTTAACAATGTCATTAAAAATCATTATAATATTCAGGTAAATAATAACTTAGACGTTTTCTATTTTTAAAATCGTTGCGTAATGCGAGGTCGAATTTTGTACAGCACGTGCACAATCACCTCCCATTATTGAATTTTTTACAGCACTAATAATTCTTTCCATATACTGCATTTGTTATATTACAATCCCAGCTCTAAATACAGATGGAATGCGAGTCGCATTTTTAATCTTATTTTTAATTTTGGACCTGATTGTTTCCATCGGATTTAACATTGGACAGTAGGGTCCTGGACGTAACAACAAAGCTGGTAAATTTTTAAATACCATTGCAAAACAAGTGCGACATGGAGTATTGTTTGTTAGAATGACCAAATCTTCTAAACAATACCTGAATGTAACCCACTGGTAAAACATAGCCAACATCCACTTGTTACAAGAATCTGAGTTAAATGGTTCTCTGCGAGTTTCTACCATGACATTTGTTGTTGTTATAGCTGCAATCAGAAAATACCTGCTTCAAAATGTGCAATTGTTATAGCATGTTTGCACATTTTGAAGCAGGTATTTTCATTATTTCTCTTCTCTGACCTTGCGTTTCTCTTCAAAAAAGGTTAAAATTTCTTTCATTTAACCAAACAATCTGATAGCTATTTGTGATATGTTCGTTGATGTTCCTAACATATTCAGCTCTTTTTTGTTTGTTTTCATTACTGTTTCTTGTAGAAATTTCCTTGTGCACTTTTTTTTTTTTAATGAAAACAATCTTCCTTCAAGGTAATTTAAGGTTGTTGTTGTGCTGACGCTAATATTAAATTGTCTCAATATTTTTGTTTTGATAATTTCTCATAATATTTTTGATTTGATACTCAGTCATTTTTTTTGGTTTAAAACCACCTCTTCCGATAAAAGCTGAATATCCGCTACGAACCCAATTTTAAGCTGTCTTATATTCGACACCTAAATTTTGCGCTAGAGCCATCAAGCTGTCATTTCACTCTGCACATTCAACAACTCTTGTTCTGTCATTCGGCAAAGATAAAACGAAATACTTTCTTTCAAAATGTTTATTTGTATGTTATTCATACCAACAAAATGGACAAGCTTGCTCTGGTTGTTTCAGAAGTGGATGTAAGAAAATTTGTTAAAATAAATGCTGTTTCGGATCCAATTTTTACACATTGTGTTCTTAGTTACATATTACAATATATAAATTTGTGTTGCATTTCTCAATTATATATTGCGATTTCTTAAATACAACTTTCATGTACTCAATTAAATTTTAAAAAGGTACGGCTGCGACAACCAAATTGCCAGATGTAACCCACTGGTGAAACATAGCCAATATCTAATTGTTTCAAGAATTTTTATTAAATGATCCTCTACAAGTTTATATTGTGACGACATTAAATGCCTATATCAATAACAAATTTTGTTATTAGCTGCAAGCAAATGTATGTTTGAATGTTATTAGCTGCAACCAAATGTATGTTTGAACCTTTTGAAACAGATGTTTTCACAATTATTCTTTTTCCCTATATGACTTTTTTTCTACAAAAGATTAAAACTTGTTTCATTTAACAAGATTATCTGATGATTATCAAGATGGTCACATATAGATATCACAGGTTTGATATGTTTGTTTATGTTCAAGATATATTCAGCTGTCTTATTTTTATTTTCATTAATGTTCATTGTAAAAGGCTTTTTGTGCATTGTTTTTAATTAAAACAGTTTTTCTTAGCCTTCAAGGTTAATGGCTGTTGTGCTGACGCATATATTTTATTGTCTTAATTATTTTGATTTTGATGTGCCAATTTCAATTGACAATCATTTACAATCCAAATTGTTTACGTATCTTCAATTTGATTTTCGGCAATTTTTTGGTCTTAAATCAGCTTTTCTAATGAAATTTGAATTTCCACTGTGAATCCAATTGTATACTGTTTCATATTTAAAACTCAGAATAACAACTTTTAAGTTTACAATGTATTGCATTACGATAAACTACATCATGTGTTTCTTGATTACATATTACGGTTTCTTAATTAAAACTTTTATGTTCATTTATCAAAATATATAGAAAAACGCAAAGTAAGATTTTAGTTTCTCAATATTATACTCTTTATTTTTATTTTAATTTACTCTAATTTTATTATTAGCTTGAAAAACATAACATCACGATTGTGTAAACATGATGAATATATATTTTTTGCAGGTGATATAAAGATTCTTTTCATTACGAAAAGTTTTCCGACATTAAATCTTTTTTTGATTCATTACTTGAATTTAATATTAATATAATTTAATTCCTACTATTTTTAAACCAACAAGAATTACGGAAAAAGCTTCTTCTGCCATTCACAATATTTTAACAAACAACTCTTATAATTCTGACTTTGAACTTGGTATTTTCATTGCTGATTTTTCTGATCATTTCGCCATTTTTCACATTGCACGCGGTATTTTAACTAATAGTGATAATAAAAAATGTCTTATCACTAAAAGAAACCTTATTAAAAAAATCTCTATAATTTAAAAAATAAACTATTTGAGGAGTCCTGGAAAAATGTATACTCAGCCAAGGATCAAAATTAGGCATTTAATAACTTTACGGCTACTATTTAATGTATTTTTGATAATGTCTGTCCAATAATAACATCTGAAGTAAAAAATAAAGATATAAAAATCCATGGATGACGAGTAACCTTATAAAATTGTC